CATTAAACGAATAAAATTCACACCATACAGCAGTATTATCTCAACTCTCATTTTGAACTGAACAGTGAACAGTGAACATGAGCTCAGGAACTGAAGATTAATATGCCGCTACCTGTTAATACCCATAATCTCAGTGACCTTTCGGCATAAATCTGCATACTCCGTGTTTGGTATACGATTATCAATCCTCTACCTGGAAGTAGGCGCTACGATCAATTGCTTGGCCAGTCGATCGTAAAATGAAAATATTTGCCTATAACTTTTATGTGTAGGAAATAAGGAGTATAATGTGCTAGTTATTTTTTGATGTTTTTTATGTAGCAGCCATTGGCCTTCTATAGTGTTTTTTTTTTGCATGATAATGATTATACTTCTAATAAGATGGAATAGTAATCTTTGGCACATATATAAAGGAAGACAAAAACACCCAAGTGTAGGATTTGCTTTGGCTTCCTTTAGTTATGAGCAAAAGGTTACCATTCCATCTTACTTCCACTGGCTTTCGCTTAAATACTATTGTGTTTCAATCTCAACAAGGGTGGTGGGAATGGGAGTTTTTTTTTACTTTTTATCTCCTATAAATAAATACGAAACAAATTACTTTATCCTAAGTTACTTACTGGATCAATCGATCAGATTTAAACCCATAGTTAATCTGAGATTTTCGACAAACTGCTGCGTTGACATAGTTCTGTGTTGTTATTCACATTAGTTCAGTTTTATTACATTTATTCTGTTCGGTTCCGTGATCGTAAGTTATTGTTCATTTGTTCAATATGTGTCATGTTCTGATAACAATGCAAGTAGTCGCGCTCAGCCTTTAGATTGGCTTCGTCTGTCTTTTCGTCGAGAATAAAACGGTTCCAAGGGTGATCCGGCCACCGAGGGATCGGCCGGGCCGGTCAAGTTCTCCACTCGTGCTCGCAGACGGCCCGTGCCCCCGGGCGACAGGCGCCGCAGCGGGGTGGAAAGAGTAAGGGAGAGCGGCACCCCATGCGACCTGCCCGGTCACTCTCTCCTGGCTCACTGCCGTCACGTGCTCTGGGGTTCTCAAACCACCGAGCTCCCGACCTTTAGTTCGCCGGGCCGCCGCAGCCCATGCTGCGGTACTTTCAAGACAGACTGTACGTATTTTTGCAGTGTTAAATGCGACGTTTTAATAAAATGTCATATTATTCGTTTTTGTTCACTTTTACCTCATTATTAGTTAGTAGGTGAAGGATGTACTCCATTGATGCTGGCTCACGAAAGGCACTTCGTCTCGACTGCTTCCTAGCTTTTCTTTTTAGTTGTATATGTACCACGTCCGCCATATAATAAGCCCCGGGCCTATCATAAGTGTTCACGGTTGGTGGTTCCAGGACCAAAGTCAGGACCGATGCGGACATCCATATCAACGCATTTAATAAATTTCACTTCCAAGGTCTCTCCCTCTCTTTCTCTCACTCTCAGTCTGAAAACGCCAGTGTCAGAACGTCACGCTTCATTTCGTTTCTGCAGCTTCTGTACAAGGAAAAGCGTTGGTCTGTACGCGGGCGTCCGTTCAGCCGCTGCCTCTCGGGAGGCTGACTGACAACGTCGAACACCGGCCAGGCACCACTAAACGTCGCAGCTTTGTCAGTCGCAGCCAAAGCACAGCGAGCCGCCACGGTCACAGGTCCGCACCAAGACGGCGCACAAGGTCAATAGGCTGGCACCAGCCACTCGATAGATTAAACAGACTCCGCGAGCCGCCTCAAAAACGCATCGATTCGCGATCAGCGTGATAACGATTGTCTTCTCAAATCACAAAATATATGGGTAGCAGGGCTGATTGCGAGCGAGCAGTCAGAACACAGCGCCTGGTGATCCGCAGGTTTCGCTTATACAAAACGCGCACAGTCGCACAATATGTACAAAGATAGTTCGAAAACAAGGACTAAAATATGCCCATATCACGCCGCATGCTGCCGTGAAAAAACTAATGCACGTAAAATGCATTACGCCTTAAAAAACATGAACACTTGCAGGCACACTAGCTTCACAATTATTCACAGTAATAGCAGCGGTGTGGGGGATAAGGCCACGACTTGTACATTTGGCACCACCCGCGTTCGCAGCGACGTCCACCGCGTGGAATGCCGTCCACCGCGTCCACAGACAGCGGCGGAAGCCGCCCACCGCGTCCACAGACAGCGGTGGAAGCCGTCCACCGCTTCCACAGACAGCGGTGGAAGCTGTCCACCGTGTCCTCAGACAGCGATGCTGGAAGCTCGTTCTGGCGTTCGCAGTATCCGCGAGACGGCATAATTACCTCTACAGATCTCTCGCTCGCCAGTCGCTGCGCGGAGATATCTCACGATCTGTCAACAAACGCATACACACACACAAACGCAGAACAGTGGCAGAGACCGACTCGCTGGTCGGCCCAGCTGAACACAAGACACGAGAGTAAATCAGCAAAACACCGCAAAAACGCGGCTTCCCGGCGACTCAAGTGGCCCGGCGCGGAGTGGCACTCCCGCACAAAGCCAGGCTAGAACACGACAGCACGGCGGCTCGGTATCAGTCGCAGAGGCTAGCGGCGAGCGGCAGCAATCTCCGACCGGCTAGTAAATGGCACAGCGAAGGCAGACGCGGCGCGGCGCGGACGAGCCGGCCGCGGCGTCACTCACACGGCGTCCACGGCGTGGACCAGCGCCTCGGCACGAATCTGGTGCGGCCGCAGCGCAGTCTGATCGGGCAGCGGCACCGGCGCAGACGGCGGCGGAGACGACAGCATTGAGGAGGCGGGCGAAGCGGCGCGGACGGGGTCCGGCTCGCCGGCGGCCTCCGAATCGTCGTGCGGAGTCATGGTGGAGTAGCCGTGGTCGGACTCTGTGCCGGCCGCCGGCCGCCGGTAGCCCGGGTTCAGGCGGTACGGCGAGACGGCGGCGGCGGGCGCCAGCGCCAGCCGGTTGACGGCGGCCGGTGGCGGCGGCTCGAGCTCCAGCTCCGCCACCTCGTCCTCCTCCTCCTCGAGAGCCAACGGCACGGCCTGCCGGTAGCGGCCGGCGGCGCGGTGCCGGTAGCACAGCACGGCCAGTGCCAACGACACGAACGCGCCGATGATGCCGCCGGCCACCGGGCCGACCGGCGAGCTGGTGGCCGGCAGGATACCCCCAGCGCGCACACCCGGTCCGCGGTCTCCGTACGGCGAGGCGGCACCGAGCACGCCGCGGAAACAGCGCTCCATGTCGGTGCAGAAGGGCCGAGAGAGGGGCGTGCGCCCGTCGGCCTCCAGCTGACACCACTCGCAGCCCAGCACGCCCACACACTCACTGATGGGGAGGGGGAGGGAGGGGCGGTTACTGGCTAGTGTCCACAAGGCGTGCAAGTCACACGACATGGTGGCCAAGATGAAGTTTTTTAAGCATAAAAAATACTAGGATACAATATCACCAGAAATTCCTTCCATGTGGCGGACGATGGATACACGAAATTCACAATCTCCATTATCTGCCTACTTCCTAGTCTCTCTTGGTCTTATAGCCTGGTCTCGCCAACCCAACCTCAGTCAGTCTGGCGTCATTTGACGTTCAGCCTCACTCAAACAGGCATTATCTAACAACAGTCTCAACCAGCCATGTTTCCTCCGATACCCATTATCTTCTGGACATGTCAGCCAACACCCAGCCGGTCTCATCTGATACCCAGTGTCACCCAATTATCATCCATTCTCACCTGGCGTTCAGTCTCGTCTGGCACCGAGTTTCACCTGGCGTTCTGCCTGGTCTGGCACCGAGTCTCAGTCGTGGCGTTCTGTCTCGTTTGACAACCATTCTCACCTGGCGTTCTGTTTCACCTCCCATCCATTCTCACCTGGCATTCTGCCGCGTCTGGCAGGTGACGGGCACACAGTCAGCCAGGTGGGAGACGTCCCTGTCCACCCGCGGCCCGTACACCGTCTCCGGCACGGCACCGCACGTGTCGTGCTGGTCCAGCACCTCCTCCGTGCAGAGGTCCGTGCGCAGCCGGCACTCACACGGACACTCGCACTCCCAGGCCTCCATGCGCTCACAGTTCAGACACCCGCGGTCGTCCTGAACAGCAAAAACACAAACTGGTCAGCAAACTGTTATCATGGAAGTTATCATGAACATTGCATACATACTGATCAAGGATCAACCTAAACATACAAACAGTACAGAGAAAGTCTGCAAAGGTCATCCAAACAACCACCGTACACACCAGCAGCTGACGTCCTCCCAAACCCGATTCGAGGAACGCGTCAGCTTCTTCAAAGCTTAGAAATCCATGAATAAATAACGCCCAACTTCCTTGACTACATGGCTTCAAGAAGCAGCGGCAAGCCAAGTCGGACTCATGTAATTATAATACATGTACATATGTTCATCCCGCTGGCACCAGCGAACGTACCCGACTGCAGGCGCAGAACGCAGGGTTATCGCACGTCTGGTTGACCACGCCGACAAATACGTTGGTGCCGGGCACTGCCACGATCTGGTACTGTTTGCAGTAGTCACCAACGGCTCCTACGTTGGTCACTACGTCCGGCATCGACGTGTTGAACTGGTAGTAACGCTGCACTGTGTTGTCCGTGTAGCTGCGAACGTAAAGGTAGTTCGGTCAGACAGAGTACAATGGACGTGTTGAACTGGTAGGAGCGCTGAACTGTGTTGTCCGTGTAGCTGCGAACGAGGAGGGAGGCGGAACGGTCAGACACGAGTGCAGAGTCGGACAGACAGCACAGATGCACTGTAGGCAGAACGGTCACGAAAAGGAAGGGGGGGGGGGCAGATAACACAGCTGTCTGGCAGAAAGCACAAACAAAAACAAGACAGTACAAAAACAGTACAAAAACGGTACAAAAACAGGATGGGAGGGGAGACGAAAAGTAAAACGATTATAAGACAAACCAAGCAGAGGTCGACGAAGAACATAAATGACGGAACAAATTATGCGGAGGATGGAGACCACAGCCGGCAGCCGACCTCATCGAAGAGACAGCTGGACTGTCTCTGAAGACTCACCTGTTGCACTGTTTCTTGGATACGAACTGCTGCTGACTGAGAATGTGGTTGGCCAGCAGGGGCTCCTTGCTGGACACGTGCTGCTGCTCGACGGGCCCCTCGCGCCACGGCGACACGTGCTCCGGGTGGGAGATCATGTAGCCGCGGTCATCCAGCAGGAAACAGGTCACCTCCGGGGTCTGACACCGGCCGCCCAGGACCGACACCAGCAGCTGCGGAACGGACGCCGTGAGTCAGTGAGGACGGGAGCGGCGGCTGAGTCACAGTAAGAACGGGCGGGCAAGTATGTCACGGGAAGTAACGCGGCTGCTGTTGGAAAACAACATGACCCATAGACATGAAAACAGGACACTGACAGCTGTTTACTGCTGCAACCAACCGGGCCTGCAGCATCAGTAGTCACCATTTAGAGATCTCATATCTGGGATATCTTGCATTCACATCTCTACAGTCACCACCACTGCCAGCCCTGCTCAATCAAACTCGCTCACCTGGTAGAAGTATCCGATCGTCATGTCCATGCCCATGACGGCGGCCACGGTGCCGCCCGCAGTGCTGATGGTCTGGCTCAGAGTGACGATGTAGCCGGCTCCACCCTGCTCGGAACAGAGAAGCACGTCACCACCAGTCGCTAACGACACATGAACGGAGCTCCGGGATAGCCGTATGCGTCGGGAGTGGCCAAAATACACGGGAATAGAGAACTTAGCACGGACGTATTGTGTTCATGAGATCAATCTCGTGTACATGTAGAGGTAACTGGGAGCTAGGTGGGACCCGACCCATACTCACGGCATCCAGGTAGGGTGACGAGAGCACCACTCGTCCAGGATGCTCCAGCGCGCGCAGGTACCAGCTCCGTCTCGTGGGTTCGTACCAGGTGTCCAGGGGGAGGCCCGGGTACACCACCAGCACCCCGCGAGACGTCGCCACGAACCTGGATCGCATTGATAGAGACGGTGTGAGCGAAACATTCGGTAAACAAGGACAGCTCGAGCACACATACTCTTGGCTTGAGTTGAAATTTCACAGGGAAACTTTTAGCTAACATGCTAATTCAAAGGTGAGTAATTTAAGCGCACCGGAATGTCAGTAGAAACCAGACTACGCAGACCCAGCTGGGTAAACGTCATATCACGATCTGATGTCGGTTGCGCTATCATGTTACCAGTTATGCGTTGCATAGACCACTCAAATTCTGGCCATAACGTGCTGGATTACTCACGTTCTGACGGTGTACCGGCTGGTGGTCGCCGCCTCCATCAGCCGCCGCCGCCAGTGTGCCGTGACGCGGCTGGTCATCGCCACATCGTCCCTCACGGTTCGCTTCAGGCCCGGGTTGGTGATGAGGCGTGTAGAGTCGCTGAGGTAGGCCATGTAGCCCTGCACCACCCGGTAGGAGGGCTCGAAGCCGGTCAGGTGGTCGTACGGAGACAGGAACGCTGTGGCCGACAGGAACAGCGACGCCGAGCCTGGAACGGGCACATAACAGCCGTTAGTGAAATGCAGTGAGGGATGGACCAGGAATGCACGCACCTTGGAACAAGCAAGAAACGCGTAAGCAAGCAAAATGCGAACTCCGAGAGGAAATTGGCTTACAAGCACGTACAATATAACAGCTGATATACCTACGAGCATTATCAGCAATATAAAACCAACCACCAACACCGTATGATATGATCATGATATCGCAGAGCTTAAGCAATGAGCCTGTAGGTAACTTACTCATGGTGGCCACATGTCGGAACTGGCGGCACAGCGCCACCTTATGGGACCGGCTCAGGTCGATCCTGTGGTAGACGAGGTCCAGCGGCGGAGAGGACGGGGCCGCGGGCGGCCGCTCGCGCCGCTCGTCCGGGTAGGCGATACACACTGTGTACGGAAAGTCCTGCACCCGCTGCCACGTGTACAGCACGCGGACCTGGTGGGCAGGGAGGGAACAGTCAGGTACACTCGTGTGCATTAGAGAGGGAGAGAGGGAAGAAAGGTGAGGTGAAAATTAGGTCAGACAGAAAAAGAGGACATCGCGGAACGGTAAACAAGATGTCAGCCAAGGCCAACTTTTCAGAATACTGCATTTTCTACAACTGACATTCGGAACTACAATCTCTACAAAATTTCCGCCAACTGACACGGGACCTCCCTCTCATCACACTCACATCTGATCCGGGCATCGACGCAGCTTTAACTCCCCTCTCCACCCATCTACTCACAGTGACGTTAAAGCCGCGCTGGTCCCAGAGGCGGTACCGGAGCACCTCCGACCCCGAGCTGGCTGCCAGCAGACGCCGCCGCACGGCCGCGAACCCAGGCCGGTGCTCGACGCTGCTGATATCGGAGTGGAACGCGTCGCGAGGCTTCACCAGCGGCCGAGCGAACGACGGGTGCATCAGCGTGTAACCTGAGAGCGGACAAGGGGAAGGGACGGTCAGGGCGGGTCGGCTCTAACAGGAAATGGGGTTGGGAACTCGATTTTTTAAGAATGCATGAAAATGATCAAACTATTTTCACAGAATTTATGGTGCATACCATTGCCTCATAAAATCAATAAGCTGAGAGAAATGGGGGAAGAAAGATAGGAAACTTGTTTTGAAAAGTTCTTGAAAAAAGATGCTCTTGATGCTGTTACGTCACATGTCACCTTCTGCGGTTGACAAATAATGGCGCATCTGGCGCACCACAGATTACATGTTATATCAATGGGTGAAAGATGTTGTTTGCTTCACTCTGCCATTCGCGCTGTTTTTAACTTTAAATTATGCTAAAACATTTACGGATGAAATGTTCAGTGTCGAAAATTGATGTGTCTGCCGTGTACTATATTCCCACTTAACATGAGCGCGTGATAAACATTTTATGTACCTCGAATTTTCAAATGATAAAGATGATGAATCGGAGGATGCTGAAAAGCAAAAGCTCATTCCAATATTTGGACTACTTTACGATTAAAATGTTTACATTCCTGTCATCTTATTGATAATTTATTTGTTCTTTTCTATGAAAATAACTTAAGGCGTTGAGAACCGAGGTAATTTCTATCGTTTCTATCTACCGTGCCTTAACTTACCAGCAACAGAAATCTATCTACGCCCTACGGTGGCAAGGGAGACTGTGAAAGAAGCGCAAGATGGATTCTAAACAATTCTTTTGTGATATACTGAAGGGCAAAGTGCAGAGAAGAGCGTACAAGTCCTGTTTTGTGCCAGGCTGTTGCAGTAGCACTTATGAAACTCCGAAAACGATCTTCGTTCATGTCCCGAACAACATTACCCTGAGGAGATGATCGTCTGCAATAGCAGGAAGAGCTGATGCAAGTACGTTGAAATCCACTATCAAGTCGGTGCTATTGTTGTAATGATCACTGTGAGGTGAGATATTTTGTGCAAGGGCTGAGTGTAATGCCCAGGAAATGACCTCCATTCGCCCCCTGACCGGTCAGGGTTATAAAATTTGAGTGGATGGTGGTCCGTTTGGGGTTCAGATGTCAATTGTATTTTGTTACTGTCAAACAATACATGTTATGCTGGCAGCGAATGTGTGTAACGTCGTTTTTTCGAAACAGAAGTTAGAACTGTAACGGCAGAGTGCTTGCTGGTCTCATCGTAAGTATTGTAAGTGTTGTAAGCAAAAGCATTGTCAATATTGTAAGTATTGTGAGCATTGATGTATGGTAGATATCACCTCACATGATCTCGGCTCAGATAACCCTCTCCGGTGTCCCTGTCAGTAAATGGCACCTGGATCATTACAGACAAGATAATTTGTTATAATTCTTAAAGAATTGGGTGGTTTTGACTCTTTTACTCGAGGTGCAGGTCGCATTTCAATACTTTTCCATAGGCTTGCAATGTAAAGGTCACGACTCTGACCTAACCTCAGGTCACAGATAAAAAATTCTGAGATATACAAACGACACATAGACATACTGCAGGCACTGTTTTGAAGACTTGATGAGAGGAAATAACCGTGAAAAACTCAAGCTCTGACGTGTTTGCAAACTTTTCTGAGGTGGGGTCAACAAACCCGCTCTGGTTACCTGACCTGACCTGACCTGGCATTTTTTTTCTGAGATGTGCGCAACGAGCATTTAGGAAAAGTCACCAAATATGAGCTGAATGTCTCGCGGCGTTTGGCAATAATACAAGAAAATCCTGAAAGGTCTCCCCGTCCGAAATAGGGTTAATGTGTATATGAAGAGTTGCAGATGCCAAACATTCCCAGATCTAAGACTGCAGTTCCCAGCGCCGCTGCAACGTTTTTAAAACAAACATACATAGGACATACAAACATGTTTATTTGCATCTGTTTTGGATAATAGCAACTCATGGCGCCATCACCCGCGATAACTGTTAGGATTTTTGAGATATATTTTTATTTAGGCCATTAGTTTGGCTGTAATGTTTATTAATATTAGTTGGGCGGAGTTTGGTAGTTTTTTATTTAACTTGTGGTATGTTGTGCTGATTGCGGGTTGTTCAAACCTTTCAAATGTAAGGACCTTATTGAACTCAACCCTACCCCTACACTACCCTACATACGACTGGACGCTTTCCAAGCCCACAAGCATCACGACGCCGAGATGGAATGTAGCCGAGAAATCACCCTCGCCATCTGCTCTAGAGCTAATCGTGTGGGGCGGCGTGTGGGGCGCCGCTTAGCCTATGGGGGTGCACTTCTAGTGGATGGGGGACGGGGGTGCACCTGCACCCCTTTCATATGGAAAGGTACTTCCCTGATTACAGCTCCCTGTATTGCACCTAATCAGGGAACGGCCAGCAAACGAAGGAACTATTTCTGGATGACAGGCGAATAACCGCTCACGCAAGGAGCGGAGCTCCGCCCCGTCCAAAGTGGCCAACAAAGCAGAGACAGAGGCAGCATCACATCTTCCATCAAATAACTGGTTTCTGGCTTGGAAGATGAGCTCCATCTTTGCATTCGAGTCGTTGCTGTCAGGAATCAGCTGGTCTAATGGAGTGAGAGTAGTGAGACGACTAGCTATTGTATCAGAGCTGCCTGGTCTTCGTAGCATTTGCACCGATTCTTCTCGATCGGACTCTGAATTCTGTCCCTCCTGCGTATTACTTGAGGCATTGCTATGTAGCTAAGTCTTTGGCAGAGTTTCATTATCCATGCTTTGCAAACAGTGCCATAACAACACAGTTAATTAATCACCAAGCTTCTTTGCAAGTTCCAATACAGTTGAATCGCACGCGATTTGAGTGCAAAAATCAAGAAAAGTGCCAACTTGTTCCCGTAAAATATTTTGAATATTGACCTAAAAAAAAATGAGTAATTTCCAGATCAAATAACAGCGAAATCAGTTTTCGCTTGCCAATAAAACTCACAGATATTGAAGCTCCATTATTAAAGGAACATTTTAGTATATGCCATTCTTGATAAAACTTCTTAGCCACGCAATACCAGCGCAAAATAAAGAGACACTGAAAACACAACCAATCACTCCGATTTACCATAGGAAAATACATAGAAAATGTATGTCTCAACTGCGCCAAATATACAGACAGTTATATACCTACATGTGACGTCATGATTAGCCCGACCAATCAGAAGCAAGTTGTTTTCAGCCACAAATAATTAATTTCTGAACTAACTAGGCATTTTTTTAACAAAGTGATTTTAAATTAAATCATTAAAAATTCTGAGCTTTTTTATTTTACCAAAACATACAGAGCATGCAGATAGGTCCCAACCCTATTGTGCTCCTTGTTGGCTATTGCATATATCATCAGGCGTGTTCACGACAACCAGGCAAAAATCCGTTTAAACGGAATCCTTAATCGTAGATCGCTTGTTGGCGTATGCTACGCAGTACGCCTAGAAACTCCTTTGCACAATGGACACAGAAAAGAGGCTGGATATGACTTTACTGCGTGACAATGGGTATGGATTAATATGAGGACATGCGCGGCACACCCACAAAGGATATTCAAAGGCGCCTTCGGGAAATCCACCTTGTCCACTCGGCGCATCACGCAGGCTTGCGGGAATAAGAGCGGCACCGAAGCCAAGGCCAGGAATAGGTTTCAGCTCGGACTGGGAGGCGCTCATTTCCGTTTCCTGTCGAAAAATCGCTAACTGGGAAACATAACTGCCGTATCGCCATGAGGTTTTGGTTTCATTTTAATGTCGTTCGGTACTTTTTCTACGAGCGCATGCATATAGTCTATGTATCATTTCGTTTTGCGAGTTCTTTCGCGGAAAAGTCACGCCTCCTTTGATGAATAACACACTGAGCCGTATCGAACGTTACCAAAGGGTCCCCCATGTGCTGAACAGACTGCGAACTGCGGAAGTTACCGTGATCATCAATGATGAAGGCATATCGTCCGCCCGTCTGGCTGAAGTAGGTGATGTCCTCCACCAGGTCGGGCAGGTGCAGGTCCATGCCCAGGATGCCGATAAAGTAGTCCACGTGGTAGCACGGCTGCGTCACGCTCACCACAAGGTCTGTCGGAGGGAGGCAATAAAGCACTCATTTATTGTCATCGCTTTTCGAGCACAAAAGGCGCCGCACATCATAGTAGGAAAATGAACACAATGAAAAACATTCTTAACGCCATTCGAGCCAAAAATGGAAACACCGGAACACGAAAAAGAGTGGGTCAATGAGCTGAACTTTGGTCACATACAATTCGTCAGTAGTCGTTCCAGGGCTCGTTTGAAATATCATTCAATGACAGCCTATTTGGACCTGAACAAAATTGCATACAAATTTCAACTTTCTGGGCATCTTACCAGGAACTCAGCAGCAGAGCAGTTGAACCTAGCATCCACGTCAGATAGCGGGGCTGATTTATGCTTATTGCCGCCAAGTGCCAATTAATCCATGAAAAATGATACTAATTTAATTCATCGGATCGTGCCGTCATTCCAGGAAATGTTACGTAATGGTGAACGCCATCAAATCAACACGTGGCCTACCTTTACTGACGAGGTCCCAGTAGGGCAGTGAGAAGTTGGGCAGCTTTCCGCTGGCGATGGAGCTGTTGAGCACGTCGAATATCTTGCCGACCTGGAAGGTGAGCTGGTCGGTCGAGTTGATGACAAACAGCTTGCCGGGGGTCAGCCGCTTCTGCAGGCTGATGTTGTACCGAGAGAAGTCCTGGCGGGTGATGTGCTCCAGAAAATCACGCTCCAGGTTGCTCTGCCAGTCTGTGTAGGGGTGGAAGTGTCACAATGGGTTGGAATGCCATTCGGGATTAATGCGTTGTGACTGAGGCGCTGTAAGCCTATCGTGCTACATGACGGTATATCGCACACGCTAGGAATTAAATTGACACAAAACCACAACATGCAACACAGCTTAACACAATACGAATGTCACAACACAAAAGACAGTAAATGACTCTGCACTGCTTCTTGATCGAGCAGCAGACTGGGGTGCCACTCGGGGCCCGCTCACCGCTCCCGCGTCCCCACCACTCACCGCTGGCCACGCCGAACGCGCTGACGATGACGGAGGCGTTGATGGCGCGCTGGTAGGCGGCCATCACCTTCATCACCTGCTGCGGCTCGAACAGCGAGCCCAGCACGCCGCGGCTGATGTAGACGACCAGCGCCTGGCCCGAGCGGTCCCGCAGCGACGGCACGCGGGTCAGCAGCTCGAACGCCGCCTCCAGGCCCAGCGTGTGGTTCGTCGGCGCTGGAACGGGGTGTGACGGGGCGGGTCAGAAGGTAGGCCAGCCGATGAGAACACAAATCGATCGCCAATCACCTACTGAATCACCGAAAAAAGGATGAGAGGGACCGCAGCTTGGTCTAACCAAGTAAGCAGAGTGCATGTACAGACGTGGTCACTCGGAGAGACCTGGTGGTCTGATATTTCGTGACTCGAAACTAAATTTTCCCAGTCAGCGTAAAATAAACACTCGCAGTGGCCCCGACTCTATCCCATCCCCATCCCCGAACAAGGGGCGCGTCTCACCGCTGTCCGGCCGGCAGCCGTCGATGAACCCCGCCAGGAAGTGTTTAGCGTCCCCGGTGGCGCTCGAGAGGCCGTGTTTGAAGCAGGCGCGGGTGGCCGGCCGCTGCACCCGGTCACTGACGGCCAGCACGGCCACACGATCGGTGTGGCCGAGCGCGTGCAGCAGGCGGCGGGCGGCGGCGCGCGCCACGGCCAGCTGGTGACCGCTCGGCCGGCCGCCCACGTCAATCAGAATCACCACGTGCTTGGCGGCCGGGTGCACGGTGGATAGGTACACCTGGAGACCGAAGAGAGTCAGTAATCACTTATCAGTGATCAGTCACTACTTCAACACACAGCTTTAAGAACGAAGAATGTTCGAACGTATTTACCGTCGCACCATTAGTCTTTGCAAAAAGCAAAAATTGTCATGCTTTATTTCATGTCTTACCCTAACAGGCTGCATATTTCACAGATCGTCACAGTAGGCTCACTCCCATAAGACCTATGCAATATCTAATCAGCTAGACGTGAGACAGGGGTGAGAGCTCCCGCTGTCCACCAGCTGGCGACCCTTCCCGCACCACTACCGACCAGACCGGACCCAGAACGGACCGCGTCCCCTTACCTGCTGGTGCCGCGTGTCGTCGTATCCTGAGCAGTCGTGCTGGCTGGCGAACTTGTGAGCCGGGTATTCGCTGTGGATGCCGTCCTTGGAGATAAAGTACTGCCACTTGATGGACGGGTGGCTCTGCAGATTGGCAATGAATGCTGCGAGCAGGGGATATTCAGCAGTCAGACGTGACAGAGGCTCGCTCTGACGACAAGCTCATGACACAGTGCTGGGCAGACAGCACATAGAGCTGTATTTAGGTGTCACGAATGATGCTCATGTGCAACAATGGCTGGTTAGACGACGCAGTGGGTTGTCTGAGACCCCAGCTGGTCTCACTGTACCTATATCATCTCACCGACCGCTCTGTATACCTCGGCACCACAAACCCTCCGATGAATCAGGCACTAAACACCCAGCAGTGGCGCTCACACGGCGGATGTGGGAGGGAAAACCGGTAATATAACTGCCGGGGCGGAGGATAGAGCTCTCTCCGTCCGTAGACGGACTATGGGCAGGAGGGCACTCCCCAATAGCCATGTGTGTGAAAGGGGGATCGGGGTAGCGTCTTCTCACTCACCATCAGTCACGTTGCGGCCAGGGTTGAAGGCGAACGGCTCCAGCACGCTCGGGGCGATGTCGCACGTGGCGTTCAGGTTCACTGGGGAGCCGAACTTGAGCGAGTACCTGTGGTTCCGGAGAAAAGCTCTTACAATGCTTGCTTTCTAGTTTTATATCTCTCCAGAATCTAAATTCCAACCGAACACATTTCCGTAAACACTGTCGTTTACAAGTGAGTCCGCATGCTCGCTCGGACACAGACAACTGCCTGTTGCGCGTTATAGATAACGAAACCACGATCTGTATAGCTCTCATTTTATTTCCGTTATTCGACAATCGGTTAACTAATTCTTGAACTTGAAGTGTTGCGACTTACTTGAGGTCCCTGTCATCCAGCGAGCAGCAGGGCGTCACCGTCGTCATCGGATCGTGCAGATGTTTCCAGAACATTTCCTCAATGACGCCGCGTGTGCGCCACAGTGCGCCCACGTAGCGGTGCAGCTTGGCCTGGATGTGCGAGGCGAGCCGCTTCACCTCCTGAATGTCGGCGGCAGTAGGCTCCGGCGAGGCCGCTGGTAGCTGGTCATACACGGACTGCGGAAGGACAGCTGGTCATACAGAGACTGGGGAAGAAGGACAGCTAGTCATACAGAGACTGGGGAAGGAGTGACAGCTGGTCATACACAGACTGGGGAAGGAGTGACAGCTGGTCATACACAGACCAGGACAGAGGGACAGCTGGCCAAACACAGACTGCAGGCAGAGGGCAGCTGGCCAAACACAGACTGGGGAGGGAGGGACAGCTGGTCATACACAGACTGGGGAAGGAGTGACAGCTGGTCATACACAGACCGGGGAAGGAGTGACAGCTGGTCATACACAGACCAGGACAGAGGGACAGCTGGTCAAACACAGACTGCAGGCAGAGGGCAGCTGGTCATACACAGACTGGGGGAAGAAGGACAGCTGGTCAAACAAAGGCTGTGGCAATGGCAGCTGGTCACTAGAAAAAGAAAGAATAAAACTATTCTAGAATAAGTAAACAAGCTGTATTAAACAAAAACTTACAGACAAAAAAAAGAAGAAGTAATTCATTATTACCTGATTACCTGATAGCTGTGTCATTTATCAATTATTTATTATGCACTATAGTTCGTTTTTCTTAAGTTTGCCCCTCACTGTAAACGTCTCTTTGAACACAGCACGAGAATTGCTAGCTGAATAACTGAGAAAACTGGTTAGCGCACATTGTATTGTAGATATGAATAATATTTTCAAAAATAAGTTTTGAACACCGACGATTTAACGTTATGTTAAGCGCCGTGCAATTTAGTTATTAGTTCAGACTAAATTCCTGAGAAGTCGTCTAGCCCTGTGGGGCTGTAGGTGTTGGCAAATACGATTTACGAGTCTGTGAAATAGTAAATAAATTTGATAAAATTGATCGTCTGTGAAATCTTATCAAATCAGTGTGCGCCAACCAGTTTTCTCAGTAATTCAGCTAGCAATTCTCGTGCTATGTTCAAAAAGACGTTTACAGTGAGGGGCAAACTTAAGAAAAACGAACTATAATCAAAATGTATCATTAATCCTTAGTCTGTACAATGTACAAGCCTAAAGACTCTAATAATGGGACTGTGCTACAAAGCTGTTTATCACTGACAAGATCAATGTGAGAATAGAGGTACTTACAAAATTTCAATCTTTGTAAGATGAAAACTTTAAATTGGATCATAGACCTCTGTACACCAGACCGGTGTACAGAGGTCTATGATTGAATATATAAATGGTATTTCATTATTGTGAATAAAAATGTAGTTTGATGAATTCAACAGTATGAATTGATGAATACTGTAGCAGTTGCACATACCTGCAGGTTTTTCACTCCCATATCAACCATGGCCAAGTTGACAAAGTGAGATGAAAGCCTCTTGGCACCAGTTCTGATGTCAATGCCTTGGAGGAAATCTGCAGCAGGTCCCTTGGCTTCCTTGAGGCTCACAAGGAAGTTATCCAGGGCTCCATTACTAGCCTCAGAAACATTTTCTGGCTTAGTAAAACTAACAACATAGTTGTCAGGATGAATCTTGTTGGTCCCATCATTTAGGTCATCATATCCTGCATCATCCTCATAAGGAACTGACACTGGTTGATCAGCAGCAGCCAGATAAATGGGTAAAATGACAAGGAGCAAGTTCACACAAGTGCACTGCATCATTGTTCCTTTTAGTGACAAATTAAGAATGTAAAGCATCTAAACAGGCATCCATCTTCACGAGCAAGCAGTTCTTCCAGGCTTGTATTTCATAAATCTCTGAAAAAGGTGAACATAAAGTATAAACATTAAACAATGATAATGATTAGTAAATTAGAGAAAAAGAATGGATATATTGGTGATCAATGCAACTACATAAATTAGTGAGGGACATCAAGATTCAAATTGTTTTCCACAGTTAAGTAATATTCTACAAGACATGTCATATCAGAAAATACAAGATCATTAGGACAATCAGTAATTAAATGTTACCCCAATATTGAACCTAAAATGAAATGGAATAATGAATTTTATATAAAGTATTTAGCTTTTGGCCACTTTGAGGAAAGTATTACCATGGGCTTTTACATTAAGAAAATAATTGTGTAGCTTCAGATGACAAGTGCACATTTCAGTAGTTTTCATAGTCCCTGACCAGACAGTTGAGCTCTAAGTCAAAATTCCTTTTGTTCAAGAGCATTCCACTAAGTCAAAAATTCAGACAGGTCCTTAGGCATTGAATGAACAGATCAAATAAACATGACATCAGCTAGTGAGCTCATATTTAATTAGATGTTATGTTGTGGCTGCATTTTAGTGATCAAAAGAGAAGGTGCAGCAGCAACGGGCAAGCAGTGACAAATGAGAAGCAGCATGGGTTCAGCATACTGAAACAGATTGTGTACAATGGAAAAGAGATACAATGTGGCAAGAAGTCTAAGATGATTCAGACTAACAAGTGAGAGAGCCAAGATGGATGATATCATAAGGTAACAGAGAGCAAGGTGAGAACATGGGAGACGATACAACAAGTGGCGACAAGTTAGTTCTGAACTTGTTTCATGATGGGATGAATGTTTGACCTCACCCCTGTGCTATTTCAGTTGGGGAAACTACGAGGAGCCAAGCAAAAATTGGATTAGCCAATCAGCGTCTGGAGTGGGCGGGGTGATGACCATATATGGTCATAAAATCAGACAACTTCATCTTTTCAATGAATTTTAGCATTCAAATGAAAAAATAAGGCACAAGGATGTTTTTTAACCACACAAGGCCTACACTCACCCGGTGCATAATTAACTGGCGGCTCTAAATCGCAGAGTTACAACGCAAGGTCAAACCGTGATTGGCAAATATGGCGGATTGAAACAGACGCGCCAAAAAATGTAAGCAGTACCGTGGCTTAAAAATGTCATTATTTTTATTATTTTGTTTATGGTTTTTCTAATTATAGTTAAGTTATTATTTTATAATTAAATATTTTTGTTTATTGTAATTAAATTAAATCTTTTAACAATTTTCTTTCATAAAACCAATCCATTTATTGAATGGCCAGCTGATTGCGACGCCCAGAACCTGCAGAAAAGCAGTTTTCCTATCGCTATTTTCGAGTCAATTCGCCAAATTTAATCAAATCACACCAATTCCGAGTGAAAAATGGAAGCCTTTTCTCTCCAATAAGTGGACGCGATACCGCAAGTACCGGCTTGTTACACCGTTTTTCACCCTTAGTAGCGGGGGCTGCATTTATGCCCATATATGGTCATCAAAAGTCCATTTATTGACCAATCCATTTTTGACGTTCGCCTCGTAGTTTCCCCAACTGATTTCTGCCAGTGACAAGCAAAAGACAACTTCCATCCAGGGTGCCAGCAGGCCTTGCTTCTGACCTCTCTCGATGCAGAAGGCCAGAGATAGGGTTCACCAAAATTTTCCCCCAGGCCCCAGCAGTGGAAGAAGAGGGTGAGGGGTCGGGAAAGTAAAACCTTTGGGTCCTCAGTTAAGTAATTAAAATTTTGCTACACTACATACTAATACAAATAAAAAATGCAGAAAAGTTCAAGGATGATTCGGAGCGAAATATTTGCCTTATCCCTTGCCTACTGCTTGTGCTCGCAAGCCTGGCATTTTAATTTATTCCTTGTTTTACCACCAACCCAAATGAAACTGAAACGGCGCAAACCCTAGCCAAGTTTGATGTGACGGTATATCAGGCCGTAGTCATCCCCATTGGGCCCTGCGTGCACGGTTCTCAGCGGGCGGCAGGGACAAATGACGTCACCGAGGGTGCACTTCGATTAGAGGTGGCAAAATGTGGACCCGAGGACCCGGTCCAAAGAACCAGTCTGGACCCATATGGGTCCAGACCGGTTCCTGGAACTTTTCTGACGGGTCCAACCGGGTCCTACCATTAACTATACATCTTGCACACTACACATTACCGCAAAATATGAAGTGAATGTTTCTTTGCACACAGTATCTCATGAGTATTCCCAGTGGGAAATAGGCTGTTTTACATGATGCAACTAATGATACCTACAAGTAGTTTGTATTAATTGACTTTTGGGGAACGGGTCCAACTGGTTCCGATTCCAACTAAGACCGGGTCCGACTGGTTCCAGAAATGTCCAGCCGGGTCTGGTTCGAGTCTGGTTCCCAAAATTTTCATCTTTTGCCACCTCTAACTTCGATCCTGGCTCGTAGTGTCATATATTGATGTTTCTCTTCATTAAAACCATTTAAAATCAAAGAACAGCAGTCAGTCTTTCATTTTTGTTCACTAACATCGGCTTTTGAATGCTTTTTGAGAAAAGAAATGCCTTTTAGTGTTTGCAGTGAATTAGTGGGGAGCGTCAAATCATTGCTGTGTTTTAGAGGACATTTTGACAGAATTGACGGCTCTGGCGCAGATGTTTCAAACAAAAAGTTTTGAAAAACAGTGATAAATTCCGTTGATATTATTTGTGAGTATAGGTGCACGTTACACTGGGTGGGTTGTTTTATTGGAGATATGATAAGTTACCTTATTATAGATATCTAATATTACTTGCAGCAGCTAGGGAACATTTTTAATTAGTCTTTGGTGCACAACATTATTGCCTAGTTGACTGTTAATTGAGATTACAGGCTACAGTTTGAAGATAGGACTTAAACATGAACACTTTTTTGATAATATTGCTAAGGAAGCCCTCAGCGTCCCACAAAGTAAATCTCGTCGATCTTTTCTCATTTTTTAATACTCTGCCTGCATGGGCTTGCTTAAGTTAATGTTTGTATGCCTAGATTATTGACAATGCGGCAATGCTCCTCAGTATCCTTGTGTGGTGAAATGTGAATGTTAAATCGCATACTAGCATACCTGCTCTTGCCTGAAACCGTTTTTCGGCTTAAAGTCTGGACTCTTGCGGTTAGGTTGTTAACTATTTGATGTGATGTTTTCCTAATTGCCTTATTTTGTTCAATCATGGGATTTTACAATATCTGTGATAAGTTCTCAAGGTTTTTTATTGGTACGTAGGTACCTATGTCCTATATTGATATGATAATGCTCTTTTTCAGATCTTGGTCTGTACTCTGTGAGCATAAACTTTGAAGATGGAGTGAGGTTGAGCCAAGTCATAGCCAGATCATTATCAACTTGTACTTGTATTCATGGTAATGTGGTTGATTGAAGAAAATGATGAACTGAACTTATTAAATAGGTATTAGGTACCTATAACCTATCCAAAGAGAAGAACGTGCTGTCAAGCTGGATTTCTCAATGTAAGCAGTCTGTTCCAAGCACTGTTCTACTGAAAATATTCATCCAACCAGCCAACCAGTTCATCCAACCAGCAACCTATCCACTGATGCTGTGGCTGCTGGCTGATGGTGGAGGCAAAGCACCAACTGTCCTTGATGCCTGGTAAGTAGTATGGACCATTTAATTTTTATGCCAAAGAAATAGATTTATTACTATTGCTAGCCTTATGCTAGACTTGTCTAGAGTATTAGCCAAACCTGTCTCAACATTTCATCTAGCTGCTTCTTCATATGTCATTAGATTTTGTATTACTCTTAGAAGGGCCAGTGCTGATTAAGTCTAAGGGTCAGGCAACTCTGATGATGATGAGAGAAGCAACTGGCTGCAAAACTGTGACAATAACAGCATCACTCAACATTATCAGGACAACCATAGATATAAGTATCATTGTTGTTTTTGTTAGGACTAGCAAAAACAACAATGATACTTATATCTCACCTCAAACATTTTGAAGACTCATAAAATGATCATGCTTATGTCTGATTATATGTTATATGTATGTTATTTGTGTGTGTTCATGTGCGATGCGCATATCTATGAGAGAAATATACCTGTGGGCTGTGCGTTCTCCTATCATGTGCCAGTGAGAGGAAAGAGCATGGGTTTGTGTATCTGTTCATGTGCTTAATGTTAATATCTGTCCCCCCTGTGCTGGTGCAGGTGTGTGCACAAGTAGATGAGTGCCGTTCATCGCCGCAGTCTTCCTGGACCTTCGCTCATCGCCGTCGTCTGTCGGGGCCTGCAATTCGGTCGTCGCCGTCTGCCGAGGCCAGCCAGCTCCACATTGATTCCTGCCTATCGCCGCCGTTTGCGGGGACCTGCAATGTCGCTGCCGTCGTCAGCCAGAGAAGCTGGTCACAGTCATCGAAGAGCAGTGATCTCCGCCGTTTGAAGAGCCGTGTAATATATATCATGTGTTGTCGCCTGTCAGTCCCCAGTGGAGTTCTCATGTGCCGTCCGTCGACTGGCGTGTCCCATGATATGACATCTGAGGGTCACCCACCGGCCACCGTTTACCGGCGACTCTGAGGGCCATCAGCCCCGAGTCCCTAGATATCCTCAGCTCGCACCCGGCAGCAGTCTCTGTCGCATCTGGAGTGTAGTCTATCCTAAAATACTTGATGCATTGCGCTGCTTCTTGTGTTAATCTGCTGGGAAACTTGGAAAGTGTTAACAACGATATATGTGCGAAGTGGAAGCTGTGTAAAGTCGTCTGCATATTAATTTCAACGGTGGTTAATGCGAAGTGATATTGGTCGAAACTGTTTTGTTATTCGTAAGCTTGTCATTGAGTATGACTTCAGGAATGCAATTGCGCGCCTCGCAATATCAACGAAAAAGTGAGAGTTACGGTGCCAGCAAGAAGTAAGATTATTGTCGCTGTATGACAGCGGCGGGTTATATTGCTGCTCGCCTAGAGGTCCCTGAGGGCGTCGGCGGGCGCCGTCCGGCTGTGCACCCCCGAGGAGGCCCACATCAGCACATCTGACGGTCGCCCAACGGCGACTCTGAGGGCCCCGCTGGCGTCTTGGAGTACCATGCAGGTCTCTGAGAACCGCTCAGAGCTCCGGAAGGCATCCTACGGGCCCCTAAAGGCACCACACAATCTCTCACATAGTCACGCTTAGATCTGATAGGTCTCATACCGGCATCTGAGAGCCCCACGCCAGCGCTTTTCATAGCCCCACATCGACTTCTGCAAGAGCTCATCTCGGCGCCTCTTGGGACTCCACACCGGCGCCCCTTTTGGTCCCACAGCGGCACCTCTAAGGGCTCCACACCAGTGCTTCTGTGGGCCCCACACCGCACACGGCACACTGGCACCTCTGATGGCCCACACCGGCCATTCTGAGGGCACTCATCAGCGCCTGAGAGTACCACGCCGGTTTTCAAGGGTTGTACAGGCTTCTGAAGACACCACGACAGCTCTTAAATCTCGCTGAGCTTCAATAGGTCCAATAATTGCCTCTGAAAGTAAACGCCAGGGCTCTCATAGCCACACACCGGCACCTGTAGGGCTTCTTTATATCAGCGACTCGTCTCACCGGCACATCCGTCATCCGATGGCCGCCCACTGGTGATTCTGAGGGCCCCCGTCGGCATCCCAGAGTACCACGCCGGTCTTCAAGGGCCCCACAGGTCTACTGAAGGCACCACACAAGCTCTTCAATAGTCTTGTTGAGCTCCATTGGGTCCCATACCGGCCCGGGCCTGAGACTCCATTTCAGCGCTTCACAGCTCCACACCGGCACCTGTAGGGGCTCCGAACCGACGACTCTGGGGGCCGCACTCTGTCGTACAAAGCCCTGCCTCTGAGTACCCTATACCGATCTATCATAGGATCAACACCGGCGCATCAGACGGCCACCCACCGGCGAATCTGCGGGCCCATACTGCCGTCTGCCGAGTCCCGTGATATCCGCGACTGCCACCCGTCGGTAGTCTCAGTCGCAGCTTTGAATGTAGTCTGTTTACCTAATCTGACCTTACCTTACTTACCTCGATTCAATTTAACCATTTGTGCCCTTTTTTCATGCGATCATGCTCTTTTCGCTTTGTATTTCAATAGCCGCGCCCGCCGAGCGGTCCCGCGGCGGCGGCGGCCGGCGCCGGCCGGCTGTGCACCCTCGGTGACGTCATCCCGCCACCTGCGCAGAAAAGCTGCGCACTGGGATGATTCTACCTGGTATATACTGCCTTGGATGTGACCACAATCAACGTTTTCTAATTTGCTATCCTGCAAATCTGAAAATCGTTTCACACCCGGTAACAGCACAACAAATCCACGCAAAATACAACGCAAAACACACCTAAAATATAAAATTCGCCATTGAAAAACTACTACTTGTGCGCTTTTGCTTTTCAAGCGCCAGTTATGTCACATTTGCCGCATTTGGTAGCAATTAGAGCTACCATATTTGAAGTTCTTTTCCCCTAAATTTTGCGCCGCATTCTCTCAACATTGAACTCAGCTCAGAACAGAACCTCTGCCCGTCTCGACGTGGAAGAAATACGGCAGTGAAAAAGATAATCATAGCGATAGATATTTATGTCCAACACAACACCTCTGCAACACCTTGAAACAAGATGCAGCAAAGGGCAGAGCCGGCCAAGCACTTCTAACGGACGAATACCGCTGGCCTCATTCACTTAGAAAAGTGTTACGCGCGGAGGGCGAGGCTCGTAAATACCTAGATGAGGCACATTTGCTTTTTCAATGGGAGGTCAGGCCAAAGCTTTGTGTTCTTGTGCTTGTCAGGCGATGATCTAGTTCACTCTTCAGCACCAACAGAGTCGCCATAACCTACGCTCTCACAGAATGTGTTGCCGTCGTAGACTACAGGTTCCCTTAGGTGGTCCTTTAGTAGGTATCAGTGATAAATAACAATATGATCAGATATGATCAATAGATACGATATGATCAATGATACATCAATACGGCAGTTTTAACATCAACCGCATTTGACAAAGGCTTTCATCTCAGTGGAGTCTCAGTAGACTGGTCGGAGCGTTCAATGACCGAGTCTCGGGTGGTTCCGAAACGTACCATCAGATGTGAGACGGATCCACTGGCGGTCGCAGGGGGGGGGGCCACGGGGGCCATGGCCCCCCCTTTGGTGCTGAAAGGTAGGGCCATACTATCTTTTGGCCCCACCTTTCAGATCGAACAAAAGTCATAGAAAAGCTTTTCGTATGTTTCATTTTCTTTCTTGCGCCATCAAAGGACGTAAATTTCACTCATGAGTGGGCTCAGTTTCGCATTCTGTCAATTTGGCGGTCAGCGTCGCTGGCACCGGTTCACGAGTATGGCCGGATCTTATAAGGAATATCAGCGTGGGTTTACTTGAGGCTCTCGTAGGCCCAGCATTCAGCAATGGCTGGCATGAGACCCTCTTCGGCAGTGGCGGGTGGGCCCTGCTTAAGGAGATCCGAGATTGGCTCCAAGACACTAAAGTAAGACCTCATGGGTTGGTGCTGTGCACCTCAGAAGCCCGGTGGTGACGCCGTATGCCGGCTTGGTTTCTTAAGGATTAGCGTGGGACCTCCGGGGCCTGCATAGAGTTTGCATGAGCTAGTATGTAATCTCAGAGGCATGTGTGTAATGTGTACACAGTGGCGGTCGCGGGGGGGCCGGGGAGGGGCATCAGGGCCATGCCCCCAAAGGTCAATAAAGGGGGCCATCATATCATTTGCCCCCCCCCCCCTCAAACAACCAATGGGCCCCCATATAGGTGTATGGGGCCCTGGCAATTATTCGATCGTCACGAGGCTAAAAAAAACCCACGCCCAGCTATTAATATAGCTCCCACACCGGTCTTTGAGCGTCCTACACTGACCTCTGAGGGAACTTCAGTGGTGGTCAAGCGCCCACGTTGACCGCTAAGAGCCTACATCAACCTCTGAGGCCCCACATCTGGCCTATGAGGGCCCCTAACCGGCCTCAGGGGTCTCAACCGGCGTCTGAGGGTCTCACACCGGTCTCTGGTGGCCTTATTTCTGTCTCTGGTGTCCCAAGACGAACCTTTAGGTGCCAATAACTATAAGGGCCCCGCACTGGCTGCTGAAGACCCGATGCCGGCCTCCAAGGGTCTGCATTGGCCTCTGAGGAGGGCCCATCTTGGCCTTTGATGGCCCTCTGCTGGCCTCTGGGGTCCAACGACGGCTCATGCCGGTCTTTTAGGGTCCCACGCTGACCTCTGAGGGTGAGGGCCCATGTTGGCCTGTAATGAGTAAGGACCCATATTAGCCTCTGAGAGCCCAAATCGGTCTCTGATGGTCTCAAACTACTGGCCTTTGTAGTTTGCAGGCCCTGTACTGGTTTCTGAGGGCCCTAAACTGGCCTCTACATGAAAGCATACATGGGTGGGTTTCTGAAGATCAGAGGGCTCACGCAGTCTCCGGCACAGCCTTACGTTGGTCCTGATCGAGATTGCTTTACGTCCTGATGGTCCCGCGCTGATTCCCTCATATTTCGACGTCGGGACCCCATGAGCCGGTGTGGGTCCTGGGGCTGGCAGAGACTGATGAAGTCCTTAGGGCTCAGGGCCAGTCTTTTTAGCAGTATGACCAGGCAGGTTGAGTGAGCCCCAACAGAGCCGTTGCGAAGCCCCGCAGGAGTCGCGCGCGGCCCTCAGATGCCAATTCTGAAAGCTCGGAACCTGTGGGGGTCTCCAGAGGTCGGTGTACCTACTCTCTCCCGCCGCCACACAACTATAGGTATACCTATACATATATGGGTAAATGCCATAGTCTAAAAATGCTCTCTGGGTTTCACATGCTTGTTCAAAGCAAGAGGTATCTGTACTTTTTAGCAAGAGGTATCTGTACTTTTCCGAATTGTTTTATAGTGGTAAGGTCATGAATACGCGTGCCTGACCTCCCAGTATACCTATGCTACACCGATCCGTCGTCATGGTGCAGCGGCCCGACCGGTGGGCACACCGTGAGACGGTAAATGGAACTGGTGATTTTGCCTTAAATTGAGCTCAAAGATTTCACGCAAGAATGAGATGGATGAAATATAAGTAATGCCAACTGTGCGGCGCCTCGTGGACGTAAAAAATTAGCCGATCACCCCCCCCCCCTCCCGGTGACGGATAAATGTTACGTCCCGCGAGTGTGACTTTGGCCCCCCCTTTTGCTAGCGGCTGCGACCGCCAGTGGACGGATCGCTCCCCAGTCCCCAACTCAGTGCAGCTGATTCACTTTAGCTGATTTGTACCACGTGAGGAACCGATTCGGATAAAAATATTTTCAGAAAGACTATGTACCTAATGCTTGACTGAGTAATGTTTGACTAATGTTTTAACTAACAAAGAGGACACTTTTTTAACGTCCCCTCGCGGCTGCCATCGCACCTTTATCTCCTTTCTCTCACAATCGCCTTTGGTGTGGTCTGGTCACCCACACAGGTGATTGGTGAGCCTGCACAAAGTGGTGTCGAGTCACTGTGACTGCCCAACATTGCTGACACGGAACACTTTAACCCGCGCCCTGGTGGGGTCTGTTTATAACGCGACCTGGTGGGGGGGGGGGGCTATTTTTTGCCCCCCCCTCGTATCTCCGAAACTACTCGACGGATCCGCAAAATTCAAACGGCGTTCGAAAGGCCTGTCAAATTTGTCGAAAGAAACCAAACTTCATTGACCTCGGGATCACCGATGACGTCACAGGTCAGGTCAAAGATGAAATGTTTCACCGTTCACGGGTCTTCTAGGGATTGCGCTATAACACCGAGGAAAACGCATTTTGTCGAGAATCAGCGATAGGGCGTCAGTTGCCTAGTAGATATGTTGCTATTAGAGGTCACTGACAATACCAGGTCAGGTCACAGGTCAGGTCACCAAGGGTCACAGGTCAGGTCACATGAGCCCATGACTAAGGTTGTGTGATGTATGTTTTATGGCCAATTTTTCATTTCCAACTCAATGGTGTTGGTTATATGACTATCAGGTACGGCTTAGGTCACTTTCTTTTGAAGTTCAGGTCAAGGTCAGGTCAGGCCAAAAAAGGTCAAATTTTTGAAGTTGATAGTTTTGCATAAAATGGGTATTGATTCGATGCAGCTCGTCACGGGGAGTCTAATGGTGGTCTTTGTTTTGCGCTACGGGGTCCAGAATTGCTAAAAATTGAGTTTGAAAATTTGACGTCATCAATTTTGAACAGTTTTTTCGCTTTAACTTCGCCAAAAAAAGAGGTATCGATCTCAAATTTGGTATGTGGATGGAAGGCGGTAAGGACTATCACATATATTCCGGTTTTTGCGAAATTCGAAAAACTTTTTGGATTTTTCGATTATTATATCAAAAAAAAAATTTGATTTTTGGGGGCCAAAACCCAGAAATTTCAAAAAATCCGAGATAGCAGTGTTGTAGCCCTGTTAATTCTACAGCTTTTATGTCTTTATCATTTTTCTGTATTTGCAAAGCTATAGGACTGACAGCTCTTCCCGCAAAACCCTTTTTTGGGTCGAAAACGGCAGAACATGACGTCACTCTGACGTCATTTCCGGCCAACCTATCATAGCCTTTGGAAAAAATTTTGGTCACAATGTGTAAAATTGATGTCCGGGAGGGTACTGAAAGTTTGGTGACGATCGGCATAGCGGTTCTGGAGATATATCGAAAAGTCTGGAGGGGGGGGGGCAAAAAATAGCCCCCCCCCCCAGGTCGCGGGTTAAGTACCATTGTGGAATCGGGACTCGGTCACACACCACGACGCGTCCGTTCAGCGAAGACTATCAGACCGACATGCTTATCACTTACGACTATACGCCCTACGTACAACATGCATATGTGAAACACAACACAGGTGTTTGGCGACTGCCACGGTGAAGCCCTAGCCTATCCTTGTGGAGCACGAGATATGCAGACATGCCTTTATTGCCTACTGTACTGCGTCAGCCAGTGTTCAGTAGATACCATTCTTCAGTAGCACCGTTCCCCTCTCTCCGATCCCACCGACCCACCGCGTGCCCCAGTCCCACGGTGTCCCACTAGTCTCGTTGTCTCACTGTCCCACGGTGTCCCATTAACCCACCGCGCGCCACAGCCCCAAGGTGTCCCGTTAGTCCCGTTACTTCAATATCCCACAATGTCCCATTATTCCGCGTTGCCCTTCTGTCACACAGTGTCCCACCCACTGCCCTATCGTTCTAGGTGATTTCAGCCTGTTCCGTTTGCCGCCGCTCCTCGGCACACCGCTCCACCGCCTGCACCGCTCTTCCGTTTCGCCCGGCGGCGCAGCATCCACACGGCCCGGTGAGTTCAACGACCGGTGTAGCGCCGGCCGGCCGGCCGGCCCGCTGCAGCTCCGGCCGACTATGCGCTAGTCAGCCGCGGTGGCCTGCTTCGGCCCGACTCCGCCACCGCACCGAGTGCAGCGAGTAGTTGGGTGGTGAGTGGTGACCGGTGCCGCTGTGTGGCTGGTGATGGGTGTGGAGACGGCTCGCACCGGTCGTCAGCCGCGGCTGGTGTCTCTGTTTTGTGGAGGGGTGCTGGCTACCGGTGTGGTGCTGTGGAGCTTCACCAGCCGTCTGGAGCTGCCGCTGCCAACTGGTGAGAGTTGCTGCTTCTCAGTGGTGAGAGCCGACGTGAGCGTGCCCGGCACCTACGTGGACGAAGACAGAGGCTGTCGGTGGTTAGGTACTGATGGATGCCTTGCAACTGGTCACTCCAGCCGAGTTGGACGGTAGAATAGTTCAGATTAGTAGTTATTTCTAATTAAGGTATTCCTACCTGTACCAACATAAATTGACTCGCAAGTCATAATGTAGTTTGGGTATCCGACGTCCGTATAACTAGGTCACGATGAATTTTAACTTTTAAAAATGCAATATAAAAGACATCACCAGTTCATAAGTTCAAAGCACATGACTGGCATGTTCTCATTGCTCGCATCCCGTCACCGTTCTAAAGCCATGCCGTCGATCAAAACATCAACAGCCCCTGTTATAGAATGAGACATGGGTCGCTGAAAAACGGTCGAATCTCCGTTTACGGCGATACAATAAGAGAATCGCTAAAATGATAGGAAATACATAAATGAGTCATGAGTCCCTTCATGGGCATCAGTACCTAGTACATCATAAGGAAGGTCACCTCTCGCGTGACTTGCACTATCTGCGTCCGCAGCAAGAGCAATGTCAATACAGCAAGCGCGTTGCTCAGCACTTTGAAACAGTTGGTTGACATGCGGCTCAAATAATTCTTCCGAAAGTCTCCAGCGCGTTTACTTCCAATAGTTTAAGTTACAGAAGTCATAAATGGTTCATTTATGCACAACGATTAATTAAAACTTGAGATAGCTGTTAATTTTGCATTAAAAGAATTCATCTTAAAGGGAAAATGCGATAGTCATTCGAAGGACAATGCGCCGTTTGAACCATCACCGTCCATATCCTGATCTGATGGGGTATGGGGTTGTGTTTGACGGTAGGATTTAATCGGACTAACCGGGTGTTTGACCAGGATGACCGTGTTTTTGAAGTGCTTACTGCTTTTGACCGTGTTTATCGCGTATTCGGCTGCATACATGTAATAGCATGTATGCCGTGGTATGTAGTTGCCCGGGCTGGCGATTTAATCGAGTTGCCACCGTGCATTTAACCGTTATTTGACTCGGCTGTCGACCGTACATTTTACCGGGCTGATCGTGCGTTTGACCAATAGTCTTTGACCGTGTATTTTATGTGTGTTTGACCTGGCTGCTGACAACGCAAATTGACTGCCGCTGACCGTTTAGTTGACCACTCTGACCGTATATTGGACAGTGCTAAGCGTTTAGTTGACTGCGCTGGCATAGGTGACTGCACTGGCTCTAACCGTGCACGCTCTGACAGAGAGTTTTTATTTGCCCGGACAGCGCCGCGCGCCGTCGACCAGTGGGAGTGGCCGCCGAAGCCGTCCACGGCCAGTGGGGAGGCAGCCGACTGCCGCTGTCTGCTGCAGATCCAGTGTCCCCGGTACAACTTCGACTACCCGCAACTGCAGCCAGGGTCGCCCTGTACCATTCAGGAATTCCGGCATCGGTAAGGAGGCTGACGTCACTCAGCGGATCAACTGCTGCTTTTTCGTTGAGTGTTGACTATAATGCAAAGTTGGACAGGGACCTTTTGACCTTTTGACAAAGATAAAAATAAGGAACTTATCCCGCGAGTTGCTGGGGGGGGGGGGGGGGCGTTAAACGCCCCCACTTTTTTCGCCGGGCCATAGCATAAAAACGGCGCGCCGCAGGCGCGCGAAATTTTGGGTACCTGTAGGAAATCAATTGAACTTTATTGTGACAAGGTTTCAAAAAAATCGGTCGGAAAATTTTTGAGATATCGAGGTTTTAGTGACGTCATGATTTCTGAGTTTTCGACCAAAAACGGCATATGTTCAAAAAATCATATAAAATCACAGAATAGACATACAGACATGCCATAAACGCCATTAGACTGCCAATACCAAGATCAATCAGATGGCTATCATCGATTATTGATTATTGTTCCGCATTTTCCATAATCTTGAACTGAATCTTGGCAATTTTTCGTGACTTCTTCACGACCATGATACATGCATTTCTTAAATTGAACTTTTTGAGCCAAACACCTACACATATGATAAAATGAATGTCACCATCGTGTTCTACGCCCCAAATTACCTATAAAACATGTGTCACAGGCTGCAAATATCAGTTTTGATTTTCGGGGATATGTGCCTACCCGGTTGACCTGACCTTGACCCTGACCTATGCTTGACTGACCCGTACATGGAGCTGACACTCTTGTAGGCCTTATATGATGGATTGTGCACCGTTTTGACAGAGTTTATGACGAGAGGCGCCCATTGCGAAGTCCTGAAGTCCATGCTACTGAAAGCCCGATTTCAGGTGTTTGACCTGACCTTGACCCGACCTGTGACCTCAAAATTCAACTTTTAAGTATTCATCTGAAGCGTCTCGTCGCGCTCTTTCGTTTGCCGCCTCGTGCGTTTCGCTGCGCCTATTGGTTCTCGAGTTATCGGCTGGGGGCGTTTAACGCCCCCCCCCCCCCCCCAGCAAACGGTGGGTGGCGAAATACCCCAGCAACTGCCGGGTTATTGTAGTCACAATAAATAATTGTTACAATTACAGTAAACTACAGTTACTGATGTCGTGATCTTTACTGCCAAGCTATTGCAGCGCAATGTTCGTGTTTGATGGCTTATCAATGTTTACTTGATGACTGATGTGATCCTTCTGATGCAGGTCAGCGAAGACATGCCTGGAGGGGCGGCTGGGCAACTTCGGCCACTCGAGTCATGTGGTGCTGGTAGGCGACCTGCGACTGCTCTACCTGTACCGTTACATGCGCGACGAGCTGCTCAGCGAAACGGAGCGCGTCGAAGGGCCCGCCTACTGCAAGTGAGTGGGCGACAAAAGACCGATGTGCTGTGGGTTGGGGAACGGTGAGGAACTGGGCTAATGGAGTTTAGTAGACATGAAGCGATGGCTGGGCTACTGCAGTTGGTTTGATTCAATGCGAATGCCGCCCATGCATTCACGCTAGAAGACGGTTAAGTTTTAGCTTTAAAAGACCCGCTCACTACACGCTGGGGGCAATAAAGTGTCGATGTGCTATATTGTTTTCCGAGGTTAACTATCTCTCTGCCCCTCAGATCGGTTCATAAGAACTGGACGCACTCCTACCTAAAGGAAAAGAGGGACCCTGCGCAGCTAGAACCGCCAAAGCCCTGCCATCATTTAGCCATCAATAAGCTCGCCAAGCTGGTTAGTGACTAATATAAAGACCTTGATATTGTTAAATCGGCAAATTTCAACTGCACGATACGAACATCATTTTATTCATCATATCATAACAATTATACCTATTATGAGATATCTTGTGTTCGACAGTTTGACATGCTTTGGCGTTGATATAAAGATTTCGTTTGTAATATAACAAGGATAACATTCGCTGAGGGAAAGCGGAAGACACTGCTTCACAGTGACCTTGGTCGATTCGCACGGGGTCTCTCAGCCAGTTTGACCCGTATTGTAACGACCCTCTGCCGTGCGTCTTCCAGGAGTATTACTGGGCCGACGATAACAGTTGGAACACCATTCTGGAGCCGCTGGTGCGGCGCTGCCAGCTCGGCTTCTGTCCCTCGGTGGTGGTGGTGTCGTCTCGACTGGACCTGGTGCTGAGGTGAGCCTGTGGGTCGACTCTTTACGTTCTCAATGAGCATGGCGTTCCGGTGAACCATATTCCCTCCGTAGTGACATGTTCTCCAGCTGGATCAATTGCCTGCAGGCTACAGTCGCAGAGAGAAGCTGTCCCGCAGTAGTTTACTTACATATACTGAGGAGGGGATGTTGAACAGGAACCACACACCGTTTTTGTTTGTGTGTTCGGAATGTGTGTTGATTTCACGGCATCACTATATAAATGTAAAAAACTGAGCCCACTTAAAATCAGACTGATGTAACCGACTAGAAGGCCTGTAACGTTATCATCATAGCCGACTGGAAGGCCTGTAACGTAACTAATATAGGGATAATGTATAATCAGTGGCGCAGCCAGAACTCTGGCAACGGGGGTGAGAGACGTTCGCGATGGGCCCCCCAGCAAAGTGGGCCCCCCTCAACCAAATGGGGGCCCCTTACCAACAACGAAAGGTCAGATCATTGTCATCATTACCAGCCAAACCGGGGAAAAGGACAAATATCTCTTGATCTGAAGAGGCACGTAAAAAACAACAGCATGTTTACAGAAACACGACCATTCTGCCCATATTTGATGGACAGCGTGCAATTGATGGCCAGCGGCCACTCAAAGGGTCGGGCTAGGTCAAAAGGCTTTTAAAAAAGCTCAACATTAGTTTTTCGACAATTACTTTTAATATAGGAGACGAGGTAGAGTTATGATATTGTCTTGAAGGTGTTAATCATCCATACTTACGGATCGGTTGGTGGCCATCATGAACTTCTCAAGTACGGGCATGACCTTGATCTGCGGTCACATTTTTAAGTTGAACTTTTTATGTGAAATTATAGGTAGCTCATTCGATGCATGTTAACAAGAGAATGATGACAAAGTAAATGTCTCATAGTTTTTCTCACCAGTCATTGCAAAAATTCTTAGCAAAACTTTTTTGGTAAAATGCGGCTATTTAGATGGTTTTGCCGGTTTTACCCTCTGCCCTGTTGCCAAACCATTGACATGAGGCATTGAGGTCAAATCTTAAAAGCGAAAACGTTTTGAAAGGCCTATCGAATGAGCTGTCCCGCAAAGCTCTAGCTCTTTGGTTCACGAGTTATACGGTTGTTTGTGAAAAATATAAAAACAAGAATTTTTTCGTCGTAATCTTGTCTTTGTGTTTATTATAATTTTATCATAATTTCATCTTCAATGACCTCAGCGATGACCTAAACGAAAAATGACCTCTACGATTCTGATTTCTGAAGCATCCTATAGGTATCCGTTACTTTTCTCGTCTTTCTAGCCGTCTTAAATTATGATCGGGTTTGGCCGATACGCCCCCCCCCCATGGCTGATTGCACGAGTTAGAGAGCTATCGAACCCACTTTCAGCGCGCTGTAGCTTTTTATGTCCTCGAGTGTCGAAACAGGCGAAACTTTTCCTTCGATGAACAGGATGACGTGTGCTTTGGTCTGAACTGCAATATTACTGAAGTAATTTCTCCATGATTTTCATTTTTCGACGCTCTTTAGAAAGCCGCCTACCGCCGCACTTGTCGCTAGGTGACCCTGGAGTCAGGTTAAAAGGGAATATTCAAACACCCCTCAGGGGCGTAAAACTCGAAAGCCTGGGGCCCTGCTCTGCGGGGCGCGGTCGAGCTAGGCTAGAGCCAGTTTGGGATATTTACAAGCCCACGTAAAGCCCTCAAGAATCTGCATAGAGCACAGGCCTTCAAAGACTTCGGGGTTTAGATATAGACAATCGACATGGTCTTTTGAAGCCTGCGTGGTGGCTATCAGAGGTCGGTGGGCCCCTCAAAAGCCGGTGCAGGAGCCTCAGGTGTCAGTTTGGAGCCATCATGGACCGGTGTGGGGTCCTGATAAATACCTAGGCGTCAAACCCCTAGACGTCGGGGTGGGGCCGGGCGGTGAGGCAGGCACAGGCCTGAGGAGAAGATTTTCAGATGTCGGCTTGGCAGGGCCCTGCATGGCTTTCATATCGTACTGCGGGACCTCCATCATAGGCGGCGGAACGGGGAGGGCACCGGGGCACCGTGCCCCCCTTTGATTTTGGCATTTTCACATTAGCCCTATGGGCGTTGCATGGAAAGAATGTGACCAAAAGTCGGCAGTGCCCCCCCCCCCCCGCCCTTGATTGAAGGTGTTCCGCCGCTTCTGACCTCTATGGGCCCCAAACGCTTGGGGTAGGCTTCCTGAAGCATAAGCATAAAATCTCTGAGTCTTGAGATGGGCCCATAGACACGAACTGGGCCATCAATATACATGTGGTGAGTTGACCTATATCAAACATGATATCGGCTCAATCAGGATTGGGGTAGGCCCTCTCAGACCCAGACCAGGCACGGAGTACGGACCCTCCCACACATAGGATGATCCTTTTATTCCTGGGATGTCTTCTCAGGCCTGAACTGGGCCCTCTCAGACCTGAAATGGGCCCTTCTCAGGCCTGAAGTAGACCCTCTCAGGCCTCAAATAGGTCCTCTAAGGCCTGAAATGGGCCCTCTGAGGCCTGTCATTAGCCCTCTCAAACCTGAAATGGGCCCCTCTCAGGCCTCAACTAGGTCCTCTAGGGCCTGAAATGGGCCCTCTCACTTCTCAGGCCTGACATTAGCCCTCTCAGACCTGAAATTGGCCCTCTCAGACCTGAAATGGGTCCCCTCAGCCCGGAAATGGTCCCTACCATGTCGAAAAAGAGCCCCCTCATACCGTAACTGGGCCCTCTCAGGTCTGAAATGGTGCCTCTTATGCCTGAAATGGGCCCCTCTCAGCCCTCAAACGGGCCCTCTCTGGCCTCAAACGGGCCCTCTCTAGCCTCATACAGGCCCTCTAGGGCATGAAATGGGCCCTCTCAAGCCTGAAATGGGTACCCTCAGGCCTGAAATGGGCCCTATCAGGCCTCAAACATGCCCTCTAGGGCCTGAAATAGACCCCTTCAGGCCTAAAATGGGCCCTCACAGCATCAAATGGGCCCACTCAGGCCTGAAATGGGCCCCTCTCAGGACTCAAATAGGTCCTCTAGGGCCTGAAATGGGCCCTCTAGGGCCTGAATTGGGCAATGAGCCCTCTCAGGCCTGACATTAGCCCTCTCAGACCTGAAAAATGGACCCTCTCAGACCTGAAATGGGCCCCCTCAGCCCGGAAATGTCGAAAAAGGGCCCCCTCATACCGTAACTGGGCCCTCTCAGGTCTGAAATGGTGCCTGAAATGGGCCCCTCTCAGCCCTCAAACGGGCCCTCTCTGGCCTCAAACGGGCCCTTTAGGGCCTGAAATGGGCCCTCTCAAGCTTCAAATGGGCCCCTTCAGGCCTGAAATGGGCCCTCACAGACCTGAAATGGGCCCTCTCAGGCCTGAAATGGCCCTCTCATGCCATGGAACGGGCCCTCCTAGGCCTCGGATTAGTTCAATCGGGTCTTGGATGTACCCTCTTAAATCATAAAATGGGACTATAAATCCTAAAGGGGGGGGGGACTATCAGGCCTCAAAACTGTTTTTCAGTCCTATGACGGGCCTTGACATTATGATAAAAATTGTCATGCTGCATAACGTTACAGTTCGAATCGACGGTGGGCCCCTAGGATAAGAGACGGGGGTGAGATCTCACCCCTTTCACCCCCCCCCCCCCTGGCTGCGCCACTGTGTATAATACAGGGCTGGTGATATAATCGACCGGACGGTCTGTAACGTAGCTTATAACCGACCCAAAGACCTGCAACGTAACTAGTTATTATCACCTCTTGGAGTAGCACCTCAGACTGACGCCGACTGCGACACTGTCCTCGCAGGGCATACGACAAGAGACGCGAGCTCTCGCTGCCCGAGGTGGACCACATCGTCAACAAGACCCTGCCGCTGCTGGAGCGACTCGAGTCGTACGGCGTCCATGTGTGGTGGAAGCCTCACGAGAACATGCTGGACATCTACAGCCCTATGGACATTGTCGAAATTAACGAGATCATCCAGCAGCACAACCTGCGACTGATGATGGCTCTGTGAGTACAGGGGACGGATTGTCGGTGGGGATTTCGGGACTGTCAGTGGGGATTGTAGGACTGTTGGTGGGGACTGTGGGACTGTTGATGGCAGCTGTAGGACTGTTGGTGGGGCAGTGGGCCTGTCGCAATCAAGCTATTGGGACTGTCGGCTCAGTAAATGAGGAATGCGAAACCCTTCTTTTAGACGAAGCTTGGTGTTCCGTGCTGAGCCTGGCGACCCTCAGACATCTGGTGATCTCTGAGGGGTGGAGGATATCAGGGTAATATCTATGCCACTGACGTCTCCTGACCTCTGCGCTATTTCTCTGCCCGACAGTCTCAACACCAAGATACCCGTGTGGACGTCAACAGGCGCCATCGGCTGGGGCCACCATCAGCACTGCCTGAGCGACACCAACCGAACGGCCTCTGCCGACTTCCGCTGCACGGAGCCCTACTACCTGGGCAACTGGGCGCAGCAGCAGTACATGGACATCATCTTCAACTTCCTCTGCGGCAGGGCCAGTAACATGGCGCAGAACCCGTGCTGCGCAGGTTGGAGCTGACGGGGACGCGCCGAGAAACCCACCGGGATGTGATGCGTTCGTTTTGTGATAAGGTACATGTAAGTGGTGATCGAATATGTCTAGTTCGCTTAGAATAGCGGGGCTTGGCCATTCATGGCAACAATACGATACTTTACCAGGAAAATGATATTGACACTGAATCTCTAAATATAGCTATCAGCAACTCTGCACACTACCTACCGTGAAAATGACGCGACCTCATGGGCATAGGTTTTATTAAACGTTTTTTTTTAACAAGCTAATGTGCATGTTTGCATACCTATTTGTTGAGCTGGAGTGTTTTCCAGTTGTTGTGTGTGGTGATAATACAGTAGGTATTGGAAAATGATATATGACGGAATACCTAAAAAAGACATCAGCTCGGCATCACTTATAAATAATGCTACATAAAAAGCCCAGACATGACTAATAAACCGGCTACGCCGTTATGAACTTATCAGGAAATACGCGTGAGTGATAAGAAATAAAGAAGTAAAACCGATGGCAGTCACACAAAGCTGTCTTACGGCCTTTGTAACGCACGAAGACTTCGAGCTGCTCTGCTGCCTTCGGTTTCTCTCTCAGCCAGTTACCCTCGGTGCGACGGTGGCGCCTGGCGGGACGGTAGCCCGCGCCGCACGCAGGTGCTCCGGACTGGAGTCCATAGGTGGCGTCTGTGGGCGGGCACCTGGCCAGTCTGCCGGCATCCGGACGTTGTAATGTCTGATTCAACGTCTTGTCTGTCAGAGTCATCAATAATGGTCAGGGCACCTCCTCTTTGAAACGGATGATTTAAAGTAGCAAAAAAAAAAAACACACACAAAACATGTTTACCTACGAGAAATTAAAATTTACCCACTTGCTGATATTTTTTTTGCGGGAAGTTTATTTGTGATGATTTTTGATACAACCCGTGTATACCAATAACATAGATTTTCAGAAGGGGTGCTCAAACACCCCCCCCCCTATAGTAGGGTGTGGAAATCCAGGAGCCCGGCTACACCAGTAGGGCTCCGTGCAGCGGAAGTCGGCAGAGGCCGTCCGGTTAGTGGGGCACGGGCTAGCCCGCTTTCTGGGGCCGTTTTCCCGGATTTCTGAATCCTGATGGGGGTGGGGAGGCCAGAGGAAGGTGTTGAACACGAGCTTCTAACTCGGCTTCTATAACCGTTATATCTCGCACGGGTGCGTGGTTTGTATGATTTCTGCCGAGTGTGGACGACTGGGGCGTACTCTGGTAGTTGGTGCAGCAATCGGGCGGCCAGCTGTGCAATGTCGTGCACGGGAAGAGAGGACACTCATACCTTTTAGGAATCGGGTACTATAGGGCTGGGGCGGCAATGTATGTAGTATGCCCGCCCGCGTATTTAAACGCCAGTGCACTTGGATGCTTGATCTTGATCTTGCTTGATGATAATAAATGAATGGTTGACCGTTGAACGCAGATGGGGCTGGAAAGTGCGTCAAAAATCATGAATAGATTATTTTGGTCATTTTTCGAACCGATCCAAGTCGAACTTGACTAAGTCACCAATGGTGACCTTTTGCAAGGCTACCAGATGTCATCGAAAGTCAAAGTTCAACAAGCTCGATATTTTTCTATTTACATTTTGGTGCCAAGTTTGGAAGTACCTACCAATGATGTATTTCTCTCATTGAGAGAAGAGAACGTCGAACGGCATATCGACCCTAGGGCGTCAACATGACAATTTGACCTTAGATGGAGTTCATAATCGGAGTTGATAAAAGTTATGTCACATATCTTTCCATATGTGTCCTTAACCTCTGTGGCTCATGGGGTTCCACGCCCTGCTGTGAGGAAGGGGGTGGGTTAGGGGTGGGGGTGGGGGTATTAATAGAGCAACTCCCCTTTAGCTCGGCTCTCAGGCCAAGTTGGTGTGCGGGGGGAGGGGGGGGGCGAGTTCACGCCCCCCGTCTAACTCGGCTCCTAGGCCACGTAACGAGACGTGGTAAGCGGCAATCAAAAGAGCGTCAAAAATAATGAAGGAAATACTCCATTCATCTATTAGGTCATGTCAAAGGTCAGGTCGCCAGAGGTCATCAAAAGTCAAAGTTAGTCTACGTCAACAATTTTCGGAACACCGGCACATAACTCGGGAGCCGATAGAGCATATACAGCGCTGCGGAAATTGGCGCATTCGATAGCCCTTTAACGCTCTTTTTGGCGTGCGTCCTCAGATTTGATCTCAGGTCAAAAGTTTAGCCCCCAGAGGGCAAAAACCCCAAAAATAACCATTTTTACGAAACACGTTTTCTGTGATAACTTTTGTCTCAAGAGAGTCAAGACATTACTTTTACCAGTACCGTGTTCCTCTCGTCGAGACGCGTCGATTGAACTATAAATTGACCTTGAAAGGTCTTTCTGAAAATTTGACCTCAAGTCAATGTCATGACCTGACCGGAAAGGGTCATGCTGCATATCGGTCGATCCGCATTGTCGAGCTTAACACATCTGAGGTGTTTTAACCGCTCTAGCACGTCTCTATCAAAAGTTATAGTCAAACTGCTGTAGACATTTCATGACCTAAGATGACGTCAGGGACACACAGAGGGGTCACGGATGCAATTTTCCGATTCAATATGTCATGTTTATCTATAAACCGATGTTTGAGAGTGTTTTGAACGACATTCGCCCAAAAGGGTCGCCTTTCAATTTTCTCCCATTGGCTTGTAATGGAGAGGTCGCAAAATTGACCTGACCTTAGGTCACATACATGAAAATTCCAAGATATACATTTTGAACATGCTGTTCCTCTTATCAATCGCTGAAAGCTTCAAAGGGACTGTTCTGTCGGTGTGGCTACGGCGATCATTGGAACTTTTTCTGAGGTAAGGTCGCTTGATGTGACCTGGTGACGTGACCTTGAACGACCCAGGTCTGAAATTTTACATGTGTGGAAAAGATGTATGTACAGGTATGCCAAAAACGGCGGCGCATGTTCGCGAAAACCTTTCGTCCAAAAAAGTCGCACTTCAATTTTACCCTTTTCACCTAGGAAGGTCGCAAAGTTGAAATAATCTTATAGGTCAACAAAATGAAAAATACGAGAAAGATGTTTTGTACATCATGTCACTCTTATCAATCGCTGAAGCTGGACACCGCATGGGGGGGGGGGGCGGGTCCAAGCACCATACCCGGTATGGGGCGGATAGTGATTGAGAACGTATAGTTTGGTTGTGTGATTTTGCGTAAACGAGTGGTTTCATTGTACTATTAGCTAATGGGGTTTCACAAAACTTACCTGACTAGACTAGCGATGCCTATAGAAATTCCGAGGCCTACATTTCATGCATTCTGCTTCTCTTATATCAATCGACAAAAAAAGAGCAATCATTCAGTCGGTGTAGCTTGGGCGAGCAGTGAGGTACTTTTTCACGAGGTAATTTTTATATGCGACCCGTTGACCTGACCGACGACCGTAGATGACCTATAACTGAATTTTCCACAACATGTTCGGAAAGGTTCACGATAAGGTGTCATTGCAACAATGTGGCCGCTTTTTTAGATATCAGCAAAAATTGCAGATTGAGGAGCACAACTAAAAACTCCATTAGATCCACACTCCACAGCCATGGTGCACGGGCAAACTTCATGCCTGGTGGCATAAACTCGCCCGAGGTAAAGGTAGATCCTAATTACAATTTACAACGAATGTATGTCTTGAAAACGTCAGGAATTGATTAGGGCCAAGGTGACAGGATATAAATACGCAGGTACATAGAAACAGCACAGCTGGGACTTAATTATCAGTTGTGACCCATTATACGGTTAGTTTATTTTAGGACCTCTCAATTTCCTAGATGCCTACCTAAACATAAGTTATTAGGTCGTTCAATAAGTAACGAACAATCGGTCATAACTTCTTTATTTCTTTATTTAACACTTTCAAACTTTCACAGATTATAGATCAAATGTTTCTGAATGTAGCCTTTGCCTCAAACCAGTCGCCGCCCGCCTGCACACACTTCTCCCAGCGTTCCGGCCAACGCCGGAATTCCGCCCGGAAACGCGTTTTCCGTCTTTTTCACCCAGTTCTTGACAGCGCACCTGACTTCAGCGTCGGTCTCGAAGTGTTCACACGGAGGCCATCCTTCAGGGGACCAGAGGTGAAAATCCGAAGGAGCCAGGTTCGGACTGTAAGGCGGCTGGGGCATGATATTCCGCCCTGTCTCGCGATCTCCTCGTGTGTGGCGTGAGACATGTGCGGACGAGCGTTGTCATGGTGTCATCCTGGTGGGCTTTCTTGAACCTGGGCGGACTATGGACAGCGGGCCGCTACATCTCAGTCCTGCAGGAGACTGAGAAAAGCGATCCTGAAGAAGAGGCGCGGCTCGGATGTCAACAACATCACCATACACCATGACAACGCCCGACGCACTTGTCTCACGCCACGCGCGAGGAGATCGCGTGACAGGGCTGAATATCATGCCCCAGCCGCCCTACAGTCCGGACCTGGCTCCTTCAGATTTTCACCTCTTTGGTCCCCTAAAGATGGCCTCCGTGGTGAACACTTCGAGACCGACGCTGAAGTCATGTGAGCTGTCATGAACTGGGTGAAAAAGACGGAAAGCGCGTTTTTCCGGGCGGAATTCCGGCGTTGGCCGGAACGCTGGGAGAAGTGTGTGCAGGCGGGCGGCGGCTGGTTTGAGGCATAGGCGGCATTCAGAAATGTCTGATCTATAATATGTGAAAGTTTGAAAGTGTTAAATAAAGAAATAAAGAAGTTATGACCGATTGTTCGTTACTTATTGAACGACCTAATATTTAACCCTCGCGGGCCCGGGGGGGCGTTTTTCGCCCCCCTGGCGAATATTTGCGATAACTCCCGAACGCTTAAGGATAGGAAGGCGAAACTTTCAGTACCTTTTCTCCCATCAATTTGACATCTTCTGAAGTAAAAAATTTGGACCTAGCCCCCTTGATGACGTCACAAGGTCCATTTTTCTACACCCCTGCACGGCAAACTTCGGCGTCACAGACGCAAACTTCAAATAGCTGCTAAAAATAGAGTTTTAGAGATAAAGACAAATTACGAGCACGGCTGTGTAGCGTTTGACCTAGAGAAAAATGGAAAAATAGTTTTGGTGACCTGAGGTCAGAGGTCAGGTCAATGACCCCGAAATGTGGTTTTAGTTTTTCGCAAATAACTTCGACAAAAATGGTCCTAGAGCTACGGCAGTGGTACCATCGCATTCGCCTTGTCAAGCCGCGTCGAATGATATATATGTTACAGGGAGTATGCGATTTCAGTTAGTTTGCAACGACCCTAGGGTGGTTGTAACCTCCCTGAACGATCAGTTTGTTTGCAACGACCCTAGGGACGTTACAAA